TTGTTGTCATGCATTTGTTGTAATGCCGTTGTTGTCATGCCATTGTGCCATGCTATGTTGGCATGCCTTCTTTCCTTGCCAGAGGGTGCATGACTAACGCAAGTCTCTTTGTCACGCGTGGTCAAGTCGCTGCTCATGTCCCCGTTAGCAACTCGCCCCTGATTGACTCGAGGCCCTTTGCCGACACAAGATCCCCGTCAAGCATCGCGGGCTCCTCATTTCTGCACGATTCTCGACCAATGCAAGAGGCCCTCTGAATGGCACTCGCACGCTTAAGCTTGCCCCTGTTTAGGCGATGCGCCCCGACACCAACACGCAGCCGACATGGGGTACCTCATTATCGTTGGGCCATCGAATGGCGCACACGGGCCTTTGACCGGCATAAGGACTCGGGCCTGCGGGGGCGGATTCCCTTACCCCGGTAAGGGCAGGGGTCAGAGCCACTCTATTTTTTTAATCAATATCTTCCTGGCATGCTGTGTAATCATGCTCACATTTCAGTAGTCTCTGCGGCACTTATTACGCTGTTTTTACAACAAGAATTCTGTAGAATGTCTCGTTCCCCTGCTGAGGCGGTTCTGTCATAAACGCTGCACGGCAAATCCACCGTCAGTACGGTCGGCAACCGACCACTAACAATCAGCCGATCACGGGCGGCGGCGAGCGCACCGCGACATTTGCGGTACAAACATCATCGGGATTTGCTCCAAATACCCACGGTCACATGCCACCGTGATCAAGATTAAACAAGGAACACATCTCGGCGAGGTTCCCGTTGCTACACTGCATGGTATCGTAATCGTTGACAAGCGAAGACGACACAGTCTCCGTGCCATCAGCCTGCGCTTCCAGACGGGGGTACGTCACTGCCCTGGATCGCCGCGTGGCTGCGCTGACGACAGGACGGGCCCGCGTTATATCGTGTTTATTTCCGCCAATCACAAGCCTAGAGCAAGGACCCGCTCCAACCCCCCCCCCCCCTTCACACACACACCTCACCACACACATCTCCCGCTCCACTACCACCACTCTCCAGTCGCCATGTTTATTCCCGCCGACCACAGCCACAAGCAAGTGACCGTCCACGTCCCGTCCCTCCACTGCGGCCACTCCCCGCAGTCACTGTTTTGCCCCTCAATTTTTTTTAAAAAAATTTTGGTGACACGCTTGGCAGGCCACGTGCCACGTTGGTCAGCACCAATCACGGCCCAGTATTCGCCCTAAGCGTGCCCATAAAGTCACGTCGCCTGTGACGTCACGCGCGGCTAAAGATGAGCCAGGATTGTTTGTCAGCGCGTCAGCATGGAGAGGAAGCACTACCAGATGAAAAAATCCTTCTGACTGAAGCGGGAGTTTGATTTGGCAAGTCTTGCGTTGACGAGTACGTTAGGTGGGGTGGGGGCGCTTGTCTCTGATTTTGGAGAAATGCGACGTAAGATAGATAAGGAGGGAATTGAAAAGCTAGGAGTAGCCATGAAAAGGTGAGTGACAGTGATTGGTGTGGTGTGTGGTTGCGTTGCCCAGTAAATAATAGCGTTATAAGTCAACATCTAAAATGAGATGACTGAAATGACTGAATTGAAATCAATTGGAAAAAAAAAGAAGAAGCACTCGACACACGGATGGATAGATGGTGGACATACCGGAACAGACGCCACACTTCCAAACACCACTTTGTACGTAGTGCGTCATGGTCGCCAGTAAGTCAGTTAATGTGTGGTCTGAAGTAAAAGATAAAAAAGGGAAGTAAAGTTAAAAAACTTTCCCGTCAGCCCGCACATCGAACGCTCCGTCAGCACGCATGACGTCACGCACTCAAGCTGACAAACCTGCTGACGACAGATCAAACACGGCCTGGATCATTTTGTCGGGGATGAAGGACGAAGAGAGGAGAAACACGGTGACAATCCCTACCCCAACTCTGCCACAATGTCGCACCCTCTAGCGGTGCTGGAAGCACATGAGGACAGACCATCGCAATCGACTCAGTCTCAGCAACTTTCGGACATTCAGGTACAGATTCGTTTTCCGAAACCGCCAAAATCAAACCAAACAACTTCTCAAGGGAGCAATGGTCGTTTGCCGTTCTTTTTTAAAGGAACACGACGGATGTCATCACACCGTTTTTGTGGAGCCCGGCGACTGCTTAGGCATGAAAGCGCTCAGGGGCCATGGCGCAACGGATTCAAGCCCTCCCCTTCCCCCCCCCCCCCCCCCCCCCCCCCCCCCAACACTCGGGAGTCCGACGCGCTTGCCACTGGCCGCCACCACCGTTAGCTGTTCCAACGTGCGGGTGCGGTGAAGCGCGCAAACTTGCTTCCCCATTTGGCGTCTCGCAGCGGCCGGCGGCCCAGCCGCTCCCAGCACGGCCGGCGGCCCAGCTGCTCCCAGCACGCCCGCCGACCCAGCCGCTCCCAGCACGGCCGCCGGCCCAGCCGCTCCCAGCACGGCCGCCGGCCCAGCCGCTCCCAGCACGGCCGGCGGCCCAGGCGCTCCCAGCACGGCCGGCGGCCCAGCCGCTCCCAGCACGGCCGCGGCCCAGGCGCTCCCAGCACGGCCGCCGGCCCAGCCGCTCCCAGCACGGCCGGCGGCCCAGGCGCCCCAGCACGGCCGCGGCCCAGCGCTCCAGCACGGCCGGCGGCCCAGGCGCCCAGCACGGCCGCGGCCCAGCCGCTCCAGCACGGCGCGGCCCAGGCGCTCCCAGCACGGCCGGCGGCCCAGCGCTCCCAGCACGGCCGCCAGCCCAGCCGCTCCCAGCACGGCCGCTGACCAATCGGGCTGACCGCCGGGCCAGCCCGCTGACACGTCCAGCCGGCGCCGGCCGCACAGCGACGCCCTCTCAGCGCCGGACACCTCCCGGGGCCCCAAAACCGGTCCTTCCCGGGCCGCCAAACGGGTCATCGACGCTTGAACGGCTGACGCGGCAGCTGACGGGCTGCGGCGTCCGGCGAGGACAGCAGTGCGCGCGCTGCGCGCAACGCCCGGCAGGCGCGGGACTCACTTGGGAATGGGCTCTCCCTTGGCCTCGCACTCAATGATGAAGGGCCGGTCGTTCTCGTCCTTGCGCTCCGCCACCTGGAACAGCTGCTCGGTGGGCGGCGGCTGCTTGGTGATGAGCGGCGGACTCTGCACTGCGGACGGAGCGATGGGAGGGGCGCCGGTCACACGGAGCGAGGGAGGGGCGCCGGTCACACGGAGCGAGGGAGGGGCGCCGCCCACACGGAGCGAGGGAGGGGCGCCGGTCACACGGAAGCGAGAGGGGGCGCCAGGGTCACACGGAGCGAAAGAGGCGCCGGGTCACACGGAGCGAGGGAGGGGCGCCAGGTCACACGGAACGAGGGAGGGCGCCAGGTCACACGGAACGAAAGAAGGCGCCCGGTCACACGGAGCGAGGGAGGCGCCAAGGGTCGCACGGGGCGAAAGAGGGGCGCCAGGTCACACGGAGCGAAACAGCGGCTGGGGCCGACAGCAAGCGCCGACACGGCATACCGAACCGAGACCGGCCCAGCCACCCACCCCCGCTTCACGGGCGGGGGTGTGGGTGGTGCCGCCACCTGTTACGACCCAACTGGGGGTCAGCCCCCACCAAGAGCCAGCGGACGTTGGGTGTCCGCGCACGCCGCATCCACCCCCACTGTGTGAAATAATGGCACCGATTTTAACATCACTTACGAACATTACCTACTTTAACTATTAGACAAAGGGTGAAAAAATGTCTGCAATATGAGGACAAGAACATGAGCCTATCCGAGCACAGTGATGCAAGGCACAAGCCAGGCTTCAAAACACGGGAAAATTCGAGGTGGATTTGCGTGGGCGTTTTTTCAAGGTCGTTCCGCGATCCATTTTTGGGAGACACGCCCGAGTGTCGGACAATGGTGTGCAAACCACCAACTGCTACTCATCTAAGTGAAATCATTTTTTTGAATTTCAGGCAGCTTTCAGCATTTCAATTTGTGCAGACCGCCCCTAGGTCGCCAAGTGGAGGCTTAACCCAGGTATGAGAAGACCGAGCAGTGGGCTAGGTGCCGCACAACTGGCGGAGTTTCGGTCGCCATCACGTTTGTTGTTTGTGCTTTGTGGTCCGCCTGGTGCGCGCTCATGGCTTTCGTCACGCAGCCTAGGAATCCTGCGAAACGCTTAAGGTTTCAACCTGAAAATCCCCGAAACCCTGAGTGGTTGTTAAGACTAAAGTGAGGCTAAAAAAACAGCGTGGGTTGGACGTAGATGTCATCCCACATTTGCGTTTGCATGACAGTGGACGGAGGCAGATCTCTGAGCGCATGTTCAAAACTGACAATGCATGGACCATCCAGCCGCGCTCGGGTATTCACCGTTTGAACGCCATCCATGCGACCGTCATGCCTCGGTCGTTACGCACATGGTGACGTCACACGGGTTACCTCCCAGTCCTGTGACGTCACACCCAGGCAGATTTTCCCACCTGTAGCATACTACGCATACATGCAGTAAATACGAGTAGAAATTGTGATTTAAAGGCAATGCAGTGTTTGTGTTGAACTTTCGAACCCTCATTCTAGCGAATGCCAGCATACGCGGGCCCAGAAATAGGGCCGCCAGGCGACGGAGCGCGGTGCATAACGCCGTCGCATCCCGCCCATCACGTGTCTAGATGGCGCTGTCACCGCCAGAAAGGTGGCGCTGGAATCTGAGCCCGTCTGACCAGAACAATGGCGAGCAAATCCTTGCCATCCGCAGAGCCCACCCTCCAGCACACATTCGACACTGTTGGTGGCACATCAGTCGTCAGCTATCCCCAGTCATCCGTGAAGCTGTCTCCAACCACCACCCCTCCATCCCTGGGGAGGCGTATCTACGTGCCGTTGTCCGACGGACGCCCGACAGCAGCACACAATTCGACGATTATCTGATGCCCTGCACCAACTGCGCACTTTTCATACCGGTTAGAACGAGGCAACTAGGCCGGTGACATTTTGCCAGGTTCCTTTTGGCGGCATGCAACTCGTAAGAAAACAAGCCGAATGATTGACACAAACTTGCACCTTATTTTACTTTAACTCAACTAGGATTGGCGAACATGCATTTCAGCTTGAATTTGCGAACTTGGATCGCATTGCAAAGCACAAAACAGCCCAATACAAGTGTGGGACCTCCATGGCCGATCCCAGCAGGCCTATGCAGAACGGGCGCCTTTGGTTGACTGGGCCTTGTACGGCCAACATATGGGTGTTATGACAGCATACCCCACGCTGCTTGCACTCTGCAAGGCTAGTGCTCAATACCTTCCGTACACAATAAATCATGATGTGGGCTTTAAGCGCGCGCTGCGCGAGATTAGTAATCACTGCACGTGACGATAGGAAACGAATCCAGACCACCAAAGCAACAAACAAACAACATATTTAGCTTAAATCTGCAGCCTGAAAATGGCAGCCGAAGCTACATACAGCACTAACACGAATCACGGCTGGCGCCATCAGACCACCGGCCGCTGGCCACACACAGCAGAGATGTTTGCTGGGATTTCACCAACGCGGCGCCACGTGCCGCGGCAGGGCGCTGGCGCTCGCGGCGAGACGGACGAGATTGAGCTGGATCTCATGCATCGAGGTCCACCGGGATTCCGCCGGCCGGAGTGCAATGCATGCCGTATTTCCGCCGGCAAGATGCTATACGCTACCGTCAGACTCACTCCGAAGGCCGTCAGCAACGGCCGGACTTGCGCCAGGTGTGACGCCGCATCAATCGAAGCGATCGACTCAGAATAACTGGAAACCGCATCGAGCTTCGAAACAACTTTACTTTTGGAATGGTGATTCGAATTGGTCGATGATATCAGGCCTCATTTCGACCCTCTTCCCGAATCAAACAAAATGGGAATTCTAAATCACAATATGATCCAAATCAAACCAAATATATGCGGTATAAGCAATGCAATAGAGCAGCATCGCCAGAACTTAAAGATGTTATTGATATCCCAGGGCTGGGGTGTTGCAAGCTTTAGAGCATGTGTGAATTGTCTGCATCACTGTACATTCAACAACACATCCTAGGGCCCCGTTCATGGGTGCGTGAGGAAAGCATTCACGTTCTCCCGAAGTACCAAGTGTTCGTTTTTACATTGAAAATTTGTAGGACGAACAGTTTCAGTACGGCATACATATACGTGAAAGCATTTACTGTTAATCTTCCTTAAATGCCGTGCACACCTAAGATATATTTTGATACCGTTTTGTGTTTATCTCCATGCTATGCGACTTGTTGACAATAGATCAAGCACAGTTTCTACCATTTCAAGAAATGCCTTGATCATGACGTCATTGTTTTCCAACTTGCCCACCGTCACTCTGAAGCTCTTGGACATTCGAACCAAATCTAATTCAGAACCCCTCCAGACGCTAGGGGCCCAAATCAGCCTTAAATCTCGACAATATGGACGATTCCAGATCCGATTCTGAATCTGAATAGAAGCAAGCTGAACCCTAGTGGCATTCCACGGACCAGCGTTTTTTTTTTTTTTATTAAATTGAGACAAAGTTAAAGCAGATCTTATCGAACACGGCTGTAGTCACCTGTGAACTGACGGAAATCTCCAGCCCCCGCCCCCCCCCCCCCCCGCATTGGAGAGGGACTTGGTTAAATCTGAGAAGAAGACCGTTTTAGTATATCTTGGGAGCAAGTTAGCGATTTTTCCCTGCTCTGCTCTCCTAACTTATTTTACAAAACTACATTCCGGTTCTAACACGGGTTAATTCCCCAGAGCCAAGAGCAAATAGCCCGATGGAAGAATTTCGCGAGAGTCAATGTTTCAAATGAAACTTGTGATGACAAGCTTGAAAATCTGACCTTGCAGTCGGAATCGGTCCCGCCTAGCCTACAGCCCCACGTAAGTGCCAATCAAATTTCAACACGAAAGTGCCACTCGCTCCTTACCACCCCCATGAGCTTCCGGCAGCACGCGCACACGCTCAATACTCACGTGCCAACGCCGTACGGAGCGAGGCCAGCAGCAGGGCGGACGCCAGCAGCAGCGGGCGCGTCGACGACATGCTGAGGCCGGCAGGCTGCAACAGCGGACGGGCGGTCGTTTAGCGGGCACAGCACCGGGGGCGAGCGTCGTTGGCGGGCACAGCACCGGGACGAGCGTCGTTGGCGGGCACAGCACCGGGACGGGTGTCGCTGGCGGGCACCGCACCGGGACGGGCGTCGTTGGCGGGCACAGCACCGGGACGAGCGGTCGTTGGCGGGCACAGCACCGGGACGGGTGTCGCTGGCGGGCACAGCACCGGGACGGGCGTCGTTGGCGGGCACAGGATCGGGACACGCCACCCGACCACACGGCTGGCGACATTCCCCAACTCGAAACAGCAGGGCCAGACTGGTCCCGCGTGACACATATCGAAGATACTGCGTCGACGCGCCGGAGCGCTGCGGGCTCAGGTGCACGCTACAGCCACGGAAACCGGCATTTGTACGCGCGCACGTGTGCGCCTACAGGAAGGCCACCACGGCGCCGACCAGACACCGAGCGCGACGAAATGTAAAAAAAACCAACAAACAAGAAACAAGCGTACGGGTGGATGCTTCGTGCTCAAAATACCTCTGTGCGCCATAACTGGCGGACGACTATCCACACAATGTAAACCGTTTTCTTCGTTTTTCTTCCATCAAAGCCTGGACGACTGACTCGACATTGGATCCCATCCGATACGCCCAACTTCAACAGCACTAGTGCCGGCACCTCATCGGTACGCAGCTGTGCCAGTGTGTACGCATGTGTACCGCAGCAGTACCAGTGTACAGTGCGTAGTGTGTACGCATTTAGCGCCGTCCTAGACAGCTTGGCATCTGCATTTAGTCACGACTTGACTCGCACCGGTACTAACAATATTACCAGCGATTAGTGATTCATTTAATAGTAATATCACCATTGATTATTTATAAATTGGTTCATTTAATGAGAGCCGTATGCCACACACCAGTACAGAAGTGCGGGTCAGCCGTAATTTATTTGCAAGCACCTTGGCAAGTCACGCGGTCCGCTCACGTGACCCGCGATGAAGGTCAGGAGAGGTCACTGGTCGTCCACGCGTGTGACGGAACACCGTGCATTAATGCATTACGAACTAGCGCTCCACATACCGAACTACAGGTAGCGCTATCCTCACCCACGTGCCCGTTGCGCAAACTCAAACCTCCTGTTTTATCCATGTACATAATTCCCTGCTTATTCTGCTGCATACTCACGTGTTGCTCCATGAGTTACGAGCGGTGGGTGTTCTACATATAGGTGTGACAGGGCGGCAGCGGAACGGCGACACACTAGACCTTGGGATGGTGCCAGATATTGAAATGTCATGACCTATGAGTCGACTTCCAACAGTGTGGCATACCAATCATTGGTACCGACGGCATGGTTTGAAGTGCGCTATGCTATAATCTCTTTTCTTCTATGACCCTATCCAGTTGGAATTAATCCCGCTGGAACTCCATGCGGGGGAAGGGGATGCCAGTTCGATTTGAGTTAGCAAAATCTGAAACGAAACTCGTGGTATGAACTAGCTTGTCAGGACGACTATTTCGATAACTTCAGTAGTACGGCAAGGAGAGCGAGCCAACCTAAAAACTTTCATCTGGTTAAAACAGATAAATCCTCCGAACCCACGCCTGTTTCAAGGCCGTCACTATCATCTCCAGCATCAGTGGCGGATGCAGGACCTTGACATTTCAGGAAATACAAGCATTTTATGCTGAGCAGACCGTTCACCGTAAACCGTCGCTCTCCCTGCATACCGGAAACTTGTGTCTGCCTCTGATCATACCCCAGAGCAGGGTCAACAATGAGGGTAAACTCTGGTACCCAACCTATCAGCGCCATGCTCAAACCGTTCAGAAATTACTCCGGAAAAATCGCAGGGCGGGGGGAAGGGTGGGGATGGGGTGGGGGCCCTGCGGCCTCTCGTAGGGCGAAACTGCACCCCCTTCTGCGACATCCGAGCTATGCAAGGATGGCATGACCTCCTTCCCGTCACAGAACAGTCCGTTCAAAACTCTTCACATTCCAGCATGGGCTGTCATCCCTCTTATATCCCTCTCTTTATCCGCGCCAACAGTATTCGTGCATTCTGCGACGAATTTAAGTGATCGACGGAGGCCAACAGCTGGCGCATGAACAACAATACACTGACCCTAACACCTAGTTCAGCACCGGGACACCATCAGGCACTACCCTGCATAATCCCTACATCCACGCGCCGCGACCCGGTCTTCGCCGTGTGTGGCAAACGGTCATCCACCTGTGACTAGAATGCTTTAAAATACGCTAAATGGGTGTCCACTGCTCCGAAAACCGGCTCAGTGAAACAACGCCTTTAATAGCAACGGTATCTGCACTGATCAGCAGCACTGATTTATGACATATGATATCCGTGACTGACGCCGCTATGTCATCCAGCGTCACCAACGTCACATGTGAAGGTTAGCGCCACCCACTACAAGTTTCATCGTAACGACCGACCCCCTGTTGAAACCGCCGGCACGTCACCACCGCCAACCGCGACGGCCAGCGCGTGGCTATCGCCGACCGTGACGATCAGCCTGCTGTCATCCCCACCCGTGGTAAACATAGCCATCATCGACCGCGACGGTCGGCCTGCTGTCATCCCCACCCGTGGTAAACGTAGCTATCGCCGATAGTGACGATCGGCCCGCTGTCATCCCCAACCGTGGTAAACGTAGCTATCGCCGACCGTGACGGTCGACCTACTGTCATCCCCAACCGCAGCTATCGCCGACCGTGACGATCGGCCTGCTGTCATCCCCAACCGTGGTAAACGAGCTTGTCCCAGCACGTTAGTGCCGATTTTAGTCAAACTACCGCCATCAATGATAAACGAGCCTGTCCCAGACAGCACATCAGTGCCGTTTTGATCTAAACCAATCTTTGTCAAGCAATCATAATAAGATTTTTAGAATTATCACTTTTAACAAAATACTCTAGTTATATAAATATGATCAATGTCCTCATGGACAGCGTTGCTCACAACAGCTATCTTCCCACGGTTTCAATCCGGGTCAATAAACCATCGGGCCAGCTGACCAGTAAATCAGCCAACCCTTCCCCCCGTCATCAAAACTCGCCCCAACACCCGATCAGCGCCTCAAAAGCCGACGGCAGCGACCACCCGCTCCCGGCGGTACCATGCGTTTATCTTCTTTTACTCGTGTTAAACGATATCGCAAGTTCGAAGCGGCGAAACCGACGCACCGATAACCAACATAACCCTGTGATATGCTGGGGCGGCCTCAGTCGGCGCATCGTCCACTTCCATGCAAGGCCTGGATTAAACGCTGTCGACGTCAACCAGCCCGCCTGCCGTAATCCTCCGTCACTGCCGGCACCAGCCCGCGTTCATTTTAACACCGGCCAGCGTTCTCCGGGGTCAGCGGAGCCCGCCACTGCCAGCGCAGGGGTTCATGTGACGCAGGGGTTCGCGTGACGCAGCCGTTACGGGCACGTCACCGGTCGCGGGTAACGCAGTACCGAAACATGACGTGACGCATGTTCCCTGCCATCAGACCCGGGTGCCCACTCCTTCACGTTCGAGGTTTGACTCATCACAGGCTAGCCCATCTCGAGGCCTGTGGTGGTCTGCTGGAGCTCACGCCCTCCTCCAGGCTGTGTCAGGCGAAGAAATGGCCGAAGTTGAGGGCAAAAGTTGTCATATAGCTGTGGATAAATCCCCAAATATGTTGAGTTGATCTGATCGACAGACGGTTGCTCCAAGAACAAATATCCACCTGGTAAGGTTTATCATGGAACGTATCAACAAAATTACCACTCCGCTGCGGCACTACCACTCCACGGGCTTACTTTGTTGCTTTGCAAAGGATCGGGGAAGCAAGCATAGAATCAAAAGGTCCCGTGCGCCACCGCTGTAGACCCGCCCTACGCAACGGGAAAGCACAAGCCTTGTGTCAGTGCCCTGGACGAGCCTTCTCCGCCTCGTTCCCATCACAGTGCTCCGCCCACTCTCCCTCCTGGCACGTCTCAGGCAACAGCCCGTGACGACCAAGCCAACCCGCCGGCCGACAAGACGGGATAGCACGGACTGGCGGTGCCGGCCCAGCAACCGAGGCATGGTCCCCACCCCGTTCACCTGAGTTTCCAGGCGAGCCGGCCGGCTGGCCGGCGCGGGCCGTCTGGCCGGGGCGCGTCGGCGCCTGCCGAGGGGGCGGCCGGCAGGGATGGGGGCGGTCCAGCATCGATCAGCCGGCAGTGAATCAGAGCCGCTGCGCCGGCCGCCGGCCCAACCGACACCGCCAGGGGGTGCGTCCAGCGTCACCGGCCCGTCCGGACCGCTCCACTGCACTCATGGGCAGTTTGGAGAAGCCAGCGACGACCGCCCGACCGCGGGACACGTCCATGCCACATCCCTCCAGCGCCGGCGGAGCTAACCGAGCGGACCCCATGCGCTTATTGCCTATTGTTCTCGACAAAACAGCCCTGGAATTTCAAACGGAACTCGAGAGGAAGCACGTTAACTTTCCAGTCTGTAGCCCGGCGGCGCTACGTCTAAGCGCTCAAAGAAGCTGACTAACGCGAAGTGGTCCGTAAGCCTCCAAATCGGGCGATCAAGCCGCAACTAGCAGAACTCCCGCCAAACAACTGATCAATTCCACAAGCCATAAACAGCGTGCGTCGTAGCTCAAAAGCATATGCGCACTGAGCTTGCAAAAGGGCAGGAACACTTCAGGGGAAGACAGCTGGCTTCGTTGCCAAAACACAGCATGTACGACAGCGTAGCACGCGTGGCCAATCCGAAGAAGGAAACGGGCGCCAACTTTGTCCAACGCTAAACGCCAGGGTAAACGCGCTTCGTGTCACTCCCAAATATCCGTGCTTTAACCTAACATGTGAGTCGCCGCGACTCATGCACGTAACTTTCGCTCACAACGTAACAACACTTGCTCAAACTTCTTCATCCATCATGATCCAATCCCTGCCGCGTCCTGGATTGTCCGTAATGAATGACTTCGCTGAAGGCTGCTGGGCGAGCCCACT